CAGACTGGATGTATTCCATTCTTTGCGAGATACTGTCTATGACCTGTATCCGTAGCATAAATCCAGATTACAAGACATATAGACCCCAATAGTAGGAATCCAAAGTAATAGCAACCCACTATCCTAGCTAGCAGCTTCAAGCTTCGATATTCAATACCGCCTAATTCAATTCTCTGCTCTTCGGTTAGGTTGAGGAATTGAGAATTCCGGCCTATGGTAGGAGTATACGACAGATACGGCGCTTGAGAGCCTCGTGAACCAGTCCTGCTGAGTGGCCGTAGAGAGCGAGAAACTGATCGAGAGCGAGATCTGGGGCGAGATGCACTGCCCAGGACAAAAGCTGATGAAGCGGCTTGTTCCACGGATGTTGCGTGAGATAGGATTTTTCCCAGCTTTCCTCTTTCACGTACACTCGATGCGCCTACAATTGATGGATCGACGGATGTTGCTTTGGTGAGTTCATCTCCTGCATTGTATTAGAACAGTTGAACAGAGCAGGAGAATGCTATCTTGGGGACATCTCACCATCAGTTTCGTCATCGACTTCATGGGCCCTATGGCCGGCTTCAAACTCTCTTGGGCCGGGAATCCTAAGGGCCTTCTCCCTCGGCCTGAAGGTATCTGTCGAGAACGAAACGTGCCCAGGTCCAGTAGTTGGCAGCTGTTTTTTAACAGCGGCTGGCTTGGGGTCGTCCCGCACCTTTTCATCTGGAGGGTGAGCGTTTCTATGCTTCAACCCTTCAGGCTCTCCGGCTTCTGCTGGCTCCGATGAAATGGCGGGTATCTCTGTGGCTGTGACCGAAGCAGTCGCCCTGTGGCTTCTTGGGCCATGTTCAATATGATGAGACCGTTCCGTAGACGGTAGACGAGAGAAACGCACTTAGTATCGAGTTAATATCGTGTTTGCTGTCGTATTAAGCACAATAATATGTCAAGTCTGCATACCGATTTCTTTGAACTTGGACTCAAACCAGTACAACCGCACTAGGACGACAATGAAGTTGATGAAACATATGTTTCCAAGTATGGGACTGATATAAAGGACTATCTGCTGGTAGGTGGTCAGGTCCTTGAAGTCGACACTATGTTCCTAGAGTTAGACGCATATATTCCATCTCGTCAAAATATATGAAGACATGTCGAGACATCACATACGAGTTCAGTCCTGTCATCGTAGCTGCTCCTACACCCTGGAACAAGGCATCGATCGCAGTCATATTCTTCAGGGGATATATCATCACCATCCCAACGAGACACAGAAACACGATATAGACATCTACCGAACCCGTCAGTCCAGCTCCATCATACAGCATCAGCGAACAAGGACAATAACTCACAATGCACCAAAATAAAAGACGGCCTCGAAACACGCGGCCAGACACTTGAAGAAAACATCCTGAACATTCAGCTCTAACCTGCGAGCTGTTGAAGAGGCGAGATACGCAGCGGGCGGCTTCAAGGCACGTCTGAACAGAGACATCACTATCAAAGCCGCAACGAGCTGATGAATAGGCAGCAGCCGGATATAACGAACAACCAGTTAATGCTCGTTAACCAGTTACTCGAGAGACGTGATATGATATTTTAACGTCCACGAAATGAAATTGAAAGGAAAAAGGCGACGCTATATATAAATTTCCCGACGAGAGACAGGGACAGGGACCGGGGACAGGGATACCAGGGCCAAAGCAGAGCCAACCGCAGCCCTTGCACAGCTTTCCATCTTTCTTTCTTGCTCTCCGTGAAAGGCCAAGGCGGCCCGGCGGTCACTGGGTGGCCATTTAGCGAGCTCAAAGCTTGTGAGAAAGCGTTTTTCTTTGCTTCTTTTCCATGTGGAGGCCAGTCGAATTTGATACCGGGAAAGTTATTCTGTGCTGCCGGCGAGGGATTAAGGGGCAGCTGAACCAGCTGCTAGTTGGTTGAGTGAGTTAGCTTGAGGCTTGTCTCTTTGAGCGGTGAATCATTTCTTGCATCGAACCGGAGAGGCTGGTTGTGCCAGATGGGATGGCTGTTGGCATGGACGGTGATGATTTTGATAACTAGGTAGTTAACTAGTGGTGAAATTGGTCAAGCGGGTTGTTGCTACATTAATCTTGCGATACCCCGGTGTACTATTATTCTGATCGAGCGAAGGGTCGCCCATCAAGCCGTGGAGTATTAGCCATCAATTAAGAGGACAGCTGACAGTACAACAATAGGATCTGCTATTACTCTTCCCGTAGATGGATGTGTTTTTTAATATAATGGTACATGGAATTTGATAGCAAAGGACGGATGCATCCCCGGACGCCCAATACATGGAAAGAAAAAGAAACGAAAAGCAGTAAAGAAGAAGCAAAGACACAACTAAACGTCCTCAAACTCCTCTTCGTCCTCGTCAGAGCCGGCATCTTCCTCCTTCTTGACCACCGGCTCCGTCTCCGGCTCCGTCTCCAGCTTAACCTTCTTAGCCGCCGGCCCATCCTCCTCTGCGGGCGTGATAGGCGTCCCCGCATTCGTGTTGGGTCCGCTAGTGCCAGATTCAGAGTCCAGCTCTCTCTTCAGGCTGCTGCCGCTGGCGGCAGTGGTGGTACCGTTCGCACTGCCGGTTCCGCTTCCGTTGACCGTGGGGGTCCCGTTGGCCGTGACTGTGGCGGAGTCCGACTGAGCACCTGCATCGGGAGTGGCACTGACGTCTTCAAATTCCTCCTCGTCTTCGTCATCATCGTCAGAGGACTCCGCGGCCTCCAGCTCCTTCTCGCGCGCCATTTCGGCGTAATAAGTAGCAATAGTATCGTCCATATCCTTCTTCTCTTCTTCCTCTTCATCTTTAATGCCAACTTTGCTGTCCTCAGCAGCGGCATCAGAGGTTGCAGTTGCGGTTGCGGTTGTGGGGGCAGTACCGTTCGGCTCAACCTTGACGGTGGGCAGGTTGCTCGCTTCGGTGGAGACGGTGGAATGAGTATGCCAGACCGGGAGTGCGTTCTGTTTCTCCAGGGCAGCCTTTCGTGCTTCCTTCTGTGCCTGTTCCTCCGCGTTCTTCTCTGCAGACGAAGAAAGACTGACTTCCAACGCCGATGCATCTGTCTTGTTGACTCCTTTGACAGTCGACGAGCCCTTTTTGTTGACCGCGATCGCAACCTTCGTCGGGTTCGTGTGTTGGTTCCGTATCACGTCTACCTTGTGCTCCCACGCAGTGTCAAAATCGTTGGGAGGGATTTCGGTAGAGTCGATTTGGATCAGGAGTTTCAGGATGGAGTCCAACTGCGCCATAAGCTTGCTGTTCTTTTCGTGGCCGCTCCGGTCAGCAGCAGCTCCCTCGACTTCATCAACCGTCGATAAGGTAGCGTTGCACCGCAGACACTCGAACCCTTCCGGTCCCACGTTGCTGAGCACCTCCAGCTGGGTCCATTCGGCCGAACATCGCTGGCAGATGAACTCCTTCCTCTCCTGGTTGGGCGTGTATTGCGCTTTGATAGACGAAGTCAGGCGAGACACCCGATACTTGATCGCATCGATGACCGGATACAGCGGAATGTAGTAGTATTCGCGAGGTCGAGTCTGGCCTTCTCGCATCTCGGTCCGGTGGTGTCTGATGGGACATCAGTGTTAGCATCCCCGTCTTCTAGCGCATCTCTTTAACAAAGAGACATACACAGCTATAAGCCTGTCCTCGCGGAGGCGACCACAAAGCTTCCGCACGTCTTTCTGCTGCATCCCCAGAAGGAGAGCCAGGTCCTCGGCGTTTAAGCTGTAGTATCAAAAAGAAGAAGAAGAGAACAGATTAGCTAGACCTCTCTCGAGTCTCGGAAAGCAAGAGGAGGCAAGGCAAGGCATACACTGAGTGTATGAAGAGTGCATCTATGACGAGGATATGACGGGTCTCGTAAAACGCCCGCGCCGTCATCCGAATAAGAGTTCCTGCGAGATCCATGCTGCCAGTTTCTCCACGAGGCCAGGTCTGCAGTCTGCTAGCGATGCTGGCGGCGTTGTCGGCCTGTTGGTGTGTTGCTTCGGAGGGGGTAGGTGTGTGCCTATCTCATTGCGCCAGGCCGAAGGGACGCCCTCCGCGCGGCAGCGAGGCTGACCGTGAGCGAGATCCCAAGATACAGACACAACGACGCTTCGCTATCCAATCAGTAGCAGCTCCGGCGAGCTATCCGTCTTGTCCGTGGACGTCGAAGCTGGTGATGTGCCGTCGAATCGAATATTTTATATATTCAATACCTTTTCCGATATTTTGAATCATCGACTTGCTGAGTAAGTAGTTAGTAATATGATGACTAAGAAAGTGAATGACGAAATGATGAGTAAGCGGGACACAGCGTTGCGCCGAGACTCGCATAAAAGGCCGTTCCGACACGCACCCACCACAACAACACGGGCTGGTGGCGCAGCGGTTAGCGCAGGGGATTGCAGCTATGTTTCTTCACAACGAGAAGTGATATATTATCCCAAGGTCCCCGGTTCAATTCCGGGTCAGCCCTGTTTCCTTTTTATTTTTATTTTTTTATATTTGGCATCCTCACTTACCCCGTACTGCTCACTTATATATATCTCACACGGTTTATTGACTTATTTACGCCTATTTCTAGAGGCATTCGAACGAGAACCCCTCGAGAAGGAAAAAGCGATATCCCAGGGTCGGTGGCGTAGTGGTTATCGCAGACGATTGCAGATCGTAAGGTGCCCAGTTCGATTCTGGGTCGACCCTAACATGTGTCCTGTAGTGTTTTTGATATTCTCTGGGGCTACTGCCTGCCTACCCTCAGTCAGGATAATATTCTTTTTGCTCCTGGGAATGCTTGTTGGTCTCGCTTCTTGTTCTTTTTGAGGCTCTAAAGATAGGTCATGTGACTGCTTTAGATAAATGCTTAGGTAATCATTCATGACTAAGCTATAGTCTGACTTCGATCTCGAAAATAATAGAAAAAGTTGAAAATAAGAAGCGAAGCAAGACGGGAAGATCACGAATAGCCGCAGCATTGATAGATGAACGTTTCAAGTTCAGTTCTCCCAGCATGGATTCAGCTGTCCAGAACCCCAGTCCGGGCGAGAATCCCGCTAAACAAGACCCTCCTACCCCTCAGGCGACTGTCGCAGACCAGGCCGGCGAGCAGAAAATGGACTCGAGCGCAACTGGAAGAGGTGGCCGAAATAAACAGAAAGATATGGGAAGGAAGGCTTACCGGTAGGTATCTCCTTTCTAAGGAGAGGGTTTTGTATTTTTCTGCATACTTCTTCTGCTTGGTCATGACCAACTAACTAAGTCAGGAATAAACACATAGATAGGCGCGCAGCAAACGACCGACAGGAGGCCAAACGGAGGAAGCTCGAGCAGGGAGAGAACCCAATGCCAATATACGCCACTCAATTCTCCCAGGAGGATATTGATGCCGATGTGCGGCGGCCAAAAAAGAAGGTCATCGTCATGTTGGGCTACTCTGGCACCGGATACCATGGAATGCAGCTGTAAGTACCACATCTCATAAACGACCAAGAAACCATTCTTTCTCTGACAAACATTGTAGATGTCCTACCGAAAAGACCATTGAAGGAGACTTATTTGCGGCCTTTGTTGCCGCTAACGCCATCTCCAAGGCCAACGCCGTCGACCCTAAGAAATCATCCTTTGTCCGCTGCGCACGAACAGACAAGGGCGTACATGCAGCCGGAAACGTGGTCTCTCTCAAGCTCATTATTGAAGACCCAGATATAGTACAGAAGATCAATGAGAAACTGAATCCGCAAATCAGGGTGTGGGGCATCATACCGGCGACCAAGGGATTTAGTGCCTATCAGTTCTGTGATTCTCGGATGTATGAATATTTGATACCCTCGCATTGCTTCCTCCCTCCCCATCCGAGCACTTTCCTGGCCCAGAAAATGGTTGAAATGGCAGAGAAGCATGGTGATATGGAGGCATTCAAAGAGAGACAGGCCGAGGTAGAGTCTTACTGGGAAGAAACAGACAAGAAGCACATCCAGCCCATAATAGATGCCCTGCCCGAGAAGATCAAGCCCTACGTTCAAGCTGCAGTTGGCTCCGTTGGCAGTGAAGAAGAGAAGGCAACTCCAGCCAACAATGGGTCTGGAGAAACTTGTGAAGAGCAAACAGAAAGTGATACCAAAAAATCCGACCTTACACCGGACGAACAAGCCCAGGTTAACGTGGCAATCAAAGACATCAGAACAGCCTACTTCAAAACCAAGAATGAATACCGTATACCCCCTGAACGTCTTGCGCGCATTAACGCCGCATTAGCCCTCTACGTCGGCACTAAAAATTTCCACAACTACACCATCCAAAAGACCTTCCGCGACCCCTCCGCAAGACGCTTAATAAAGTCTTTTAAAATCTCCCGAGACCCTGTGGTCATCAATGGAACTGAATGGCTAAGCTTGAAAGTTCACGGCCAAAGCTTCATGATGCATCAGATCAGAAAGATGGTTGCAATGGTTGCTTTGCTCGTTCGTTGCGGAGCAGATATCAAGCGTATCGAAGAAAGCTATCAGAATTCCAGGATACCGATTCCCAAAGCACCGGGTCTGGGGCTGCTTCTTGAACGACCTATTTTTGATGGGTATAATAAGAAAGCCAAAGACCTCGGTAGAGAACTACTGGATTTTGACAAATATGAGAAGGAAATGGATGAGTTTAAGCTTAAGGAGATATACCAGCGTATCTTCACGGAAGAAGCTGAGAAACATGCGTAAGTTCCTCCACACTCCGTTTCTGGTGTTGGCGACTACTAACATCTTACCTGCTGAAGTTTCGGAACCTTTTTCAATCATATTGATAGCTATAAAGAAAATACTTTCTTATATGTCACTTCAGGTGGCCTAGCTGCCTGCAGCTCGTCTACTACCCAACCCACTGCTGCTCAAGAGGAAGATGCCAGGAAGGCTGAAAGCAAGGTTCTTGCAGAGGTTGAGTCAGAATCCGAAGCAGAGCTTGTGGATAACGGTGAAGACGGCGGTTAGTAAGGATGGTGGTAGAAGAGCCCCGTGTTAGTCACTTGCGTGCGGTATATAATAGAATGATAGCTATTCAATATTGGAGTCAAATAAAGACTCGTTGTTCACATGGTTC